AAAAAAAAGATTTAAATTTTTTTTTAATGTTTCTCTAAACTAGAAGATTGGGCAACATTTGCTTTCTTTACTATATTTCTCTTAAGTGCATAGTTTTCAGGGAGATCCTTACTTAGTTTAATGCAAGTGTTTCATCTAGCCTTTTGTCTCTATTTTAATTTAGAGAGTGAACAATTCTCTTAGTAGTTTTTCTCCTGTCAGCCTCACCAGGTAGACCAGACAGGAAACATGACCAGATAAGCTAATTCGACTTTATTGTAAAGCTACAGTAACAGAATCCTGCAAGTCTGAAAGTATAATTCTCCCCTCCCCGCCATCTCCTTTACAACCTGAGAAACTAGGGAGGGTCCCTTCTGAGCCTCTTGCCCCGCCCACTGTCCAGCTGCAGGCTAGGCTGTCTCTTATCTGACCATTCCCTAGGCTGCATCTCTTCACCCCGTCTCCCAAGGTCTTTCCCGCATACCATTACATCTCTTCCCACCCCCTTCATTATCTGAATTATATGAAGAGGTCTTTCTGTCTCCCAATGCAGAGGGGGGACTGTCAAAAAAGTCAAGCTGGCAGCTGCAACCACACAATCAACAGGCCACTCCTTTTTAATGTGTGTGACATGTACAAAACGGGCAGAGTTCCAGTTGTGTGGTTGTGGCTGTCATCTTGCCCTTTTTGGGTGCCCCAGTTCACTCTGCTAGAGAACTAAGGTCATGTCCAATGTGCTTCATCTCAGCTTGGTACCTTATCTCAAGCAGGGGCGTTCCTCATTTTGTATAGGATAAGGGTGCAGACTACTTCCAGCTGGAACTGAAAGGAAGAAGCCCCATAGATTACCCAGTGCAGATAAACAAGTTACTCTCTGGAGAAAACTGTCTTGTGATGTTAAGGTTTGCAGGCACAGCTATAATTCACCAAGCTCAACACAGAGTAAGCTTTATTGCTTGCTTGTTGCTTGCTTTGTGATTAGCATTCTAAAATTTGGGATAAAGATTTAATTACAGAAAAGTGCTTTTCTTAAAAAGTTACTTGTGCTATGGTGGTATTATCCATACTTGACTCAGATTTTGATCCTGAATACATGAAAACTATTCATAATTGCCTACCAGCTTTACAAACTTAGACCTAAGCTTTTTAAAACTATTTTTTAAACTAAAAACTTCACTGTAAGGTTCAATTCGTCTTTCTTTAGTTTAATTGGTACAAGAAAATGAAATACAAAGTTGTGCATTTGCAGCTGTAATAACTTGGTTTTGACAATCACAGTAGCTCATAGATGGTAAAAGCTGAAAAGTTACCCTCTGAAAATGTATTTCCTATAAATGCCAGGTTCTTTGTGCAATTTCTACAATATCTAATGAAGTGCTTTATTATACTTCTCTCCTCCATCCTTCTAAATTGCACACCTTGTGATTTTATTCTGTGGTAATAGAAGCACAAGCCAGCAATCTAGCTGTCATAGATTTCCAATGAATATTTCCTGTGATTACCCCTTGACATAAGATTTAGTGAGAAGAATGAGAGACTGTTTGACATCTCTTCACGTACCCATAGAAATGATATTATACCATTACACTGTAATAATGTACATAAAAGTCTAGAATAGAGAAATACAAATGAATTGAAATCTTATTTTTATTTATTTATTCATTAAATTTATATGCCCACCCATCTCATGCAAAAGTGACTCTGGGCAGCGTACAACAAAACTATAAAACAGTTAATATATATATAAAAATATTTTAAACATTTTTTAAAAATTAAAAATTCACAAAGGCTAAGAGAACAGCATATGTCAACATCAGTGGAGCCACTTCAGTACCTCGCCGGTCCCCTGAGGGCCCCAGGCCTTATGGCACAATCAGGTTTTGAGGGACTTCTGGAAAATCAACAGGGATGGAGCCAGCCTCACTTCAAGGGGGAGGATGTTCTAAAAGGCGGGCACCACGGCAGAGAAGGCCCGCCTCCCGGGACTTGCCAAACATAGCTCCCTAGCAGATGGGACCTGTAGCGTGCCTCTTCTGCCAGATCTGATGGGACAGGCAGGTGTGATCAGGGAGAGTGGTCCCTCAAATAACTCAGCCCCATGCCATGTAGGGCTTTAAAAGTCAAAACCAACACCTTGAATTGGACCTGGAAGCAGACTGGCAACCAATGCAGGTCGCAGAGCAGAGGTGTAATGTGTGTTGTTCTAGAAGCACATATAACTGCCCATGCCACTGCATTTTGCACCAACTGAAGTTTCCAGATATTCTTCAAGGGCAGCCCCATGTAGAGTGCGTTACAGTAGTCCAATCAGGAAGTGACTAGGGCATGAGTGACCATGAGCAGAGCCCCCGATCTAGGAAGGGGTGCAACTGGTGCACAATTCGCACTTGTGCAAAGGCCATCCTAGTCACGACTGCCACCTGCTCTTTGAGCAGGGCTCATGAGTCCAGGAGGACCCCCAAGTTGTGCACCAGGTCTGTTTGGGGTAGTGCAACCCCATCCAGCACCAAAGATGACATAGTCCTAGAACTGGCAGCCCCCCAAACCCAAAGTCGCTCAATCTTGCCAGGGTTCAACTGAAGCCTGTTCCCCATCCAAACCCTCACAGCCTCCAGGAACTGGGATAAGATGTCCACAGCATCACTTAATTTGCCAGGGCCAGAGATGCATAATTGGGTATCATCAGCATACTGATGATACCTCACCCCCATGGCAACAGATGAGCTCACCCAGCACCCTCGTGTAGATACTGAATAGGAGCAGAGAGAACACCGAACCCTGGAGCACCCCACACAGTAGGACCTGAGGGTAGGATCTCTCTCCTGCAATCACCACTGACTGGAAGCAATGGAGAAAGGAGGCAAACCAGCACAACACAGTGCTACCCATCCCCAATCCTCTGAGTCGATCCAGAAGGATAATATGGTTGATTGTATTGAAAACCACAGAGAGGTCAAGTAGGGCAAGGATGGCTGCACAATCTCCATCCCACCCTCACCAGAGATCATCCAAAAGCGTGACCAATGCTGTTTCTGTGTCATACCCAGGCCTGAATCCCAACTGAAAGGGTTCCAGATAATCTGCTTCATCCAAGGTCCTCTGAAGCTGTTGTGCAACCATCTTCTCAACTACCTTCCCCAAAAAGGGGAAGTTAGATACTGGATGAAAATTGTCCAGTATAGTGGGGCCAGCAATGGCTTCTTGAGGAGGGGGCAAAGCAAGGCCTCCTTAAGAGGTAATGGTACGACCCCATCACTCAAAGAAGAATTCACCACTGCTAGAACCCACTCACATGACACCTCTTGGGCCACCTTAATCAGCCAGGAGGGGCATGGATCTAAAGAACAGGTGGCTGAGCTCACAGCCCTAAGGACCCTGTCTACTTCCTCAGACCCAACAGGATCAAACTGTTCCCAGATAACAGGCAAGACTCCTCTCCAGGCATCTCCCCTGGACCTGCAACAAGGCCAGCATCCAGTTGTGAGCGAATTCAAGTGACTTTGTCTGACAGATGGTGAACAAATTCTTCCACACACCCCTGCAGGGGGTTCTCCGAGCCCCCTCTACCCAAGAGGGCATGTGTCACCTGAAACAGGGCCATGGGACAGCTATCCACAGATGCAATAAGGGTGAACTACTGATGCTTTGCCGCCCTTATTGCCACAAGGTAGGCCTAAATAGCGGCTCTGACCCATGTTCAGTTGAGTTCATCCCCTGCTGAATGTCAGTGACACTCTAGACATCTCTCTTTTCATCTCTCTTAACTCTTCCATGAGTGATGGGATCCAGGAGACGGAAGAAGTTGCATAGTGCAATCTGATCAAATGCCTCAGCCACCCTCCCATTCCAAGTGGCAACCAAGGCTTCAGATGGACTGTGCAACAGACCAGCAGGAACAGCCCCCAGCTCCCTCTGAAACCCATCTGGGTCCATCAGTTCCCAGGGGTGGACCGATCTAATGGGTCCAGCCTCCCTGTAGTGGATAATGGTGCTAGAGAATCCCATGGTAATCAGGGCATGACAAGGGAGACACCAAAAGCTCTCCCAGTTTCAAATCACATAACCATTGCTCCAACAGGGACACTAGATCTGTGACCACTGTCCCTTGTTGGGCTCTGGATAACCAGGGATAGGCCCATCGCCTTCAGGGTGGCCATGAACTCCTGA